GTGAAGTGGTATGGATAGGATAAGTGTCACTCTCTCTGGCGAGAATAGGGATTCCAACAGGGTTTTATCCCAAGAATGTGAATCCAAACAGATCAGATCCGAGACAAAGGAGGGTAAAGAAGACACACCTGCTCGGAGCACGGGGCAGGAGGGGGGAGAAAAAGGCAGCCAGTTGTCTTGAAGTATGCGAATTCGAGATCCGTCCCCAACCTGCCATCGTAAGCCTCAAATGAGTAAATCTCTTCCTTCCAAGACACTCTGCCAAGCCCATGATGGTCGGTTTCCAGCTGTTGCCTCGAGGAAGGATTGATGGGGATGATACCTCGCCTTGTACATTTGAGCAAGGTGGCTGGTTGGATTACCCAGGATACGCCAGGCATGTTTAGCTAAAAGAGCAATGTTAAAACGGTTAAAATCCCTGAATCCTAACCCACCCGCAAATTTACTTTGGCACATTGCATTCCACGAGATCTAGTGTATGCCCTTCTCCCTATCTTGCCCTGCCCACCAGAACTTCGACAGCTGCCCATTGCACCGACGGCAAGTCTCTTGAGGTAGCCTAAAGGCTGACATCGCATAGATAGGACCAGAAGCCTCGATCGCCTTGATAACCACCTCCTTAGCCGCAAGTGACATAGCCTTAGATTTCCAACTACGGATTCTAGAGGCTAGATCTTCCTCGATAAATTGGAAGGTCAGGGACTTGGACCGTCGAATCTGAGAGGGAAGGCCGAGGTACCTGTCCTCCGGGTTCATTGTATCAACTCCTAAATAAGTACTGATCGCCATCAATTCCTGCTCAGAAACATTCTCACTAACACGGACAGCCGACTTGTGTAAGTTTACTCGTTGGCCACTAAACAATTCATATTCAGCAAGTAATTCAGTTAAAGCAGCACATTCTGGAATTGAAGCTCTAATGAACAGGTATGAATCATCCGCGAAAAAAAGGTGGGAAATGGGGGGAGCGAACCTATGGACTTTCAATTCATGGAGTGAGGAGCTACGGACAGCCTGTGTGATTTTAGCAGCAAAAGCTTCTGTGTAGATAGCAAAAAGTAGCGGCGACAACGGGTCACCCTGCCGGATGCCTCTCTGTGGTTGGAAATACCCATATTCTGCACCATTGAGTAAAACTGAATATCGGACTGAAGTGATACAAGCCTTGATCCACTTCATCCACTTTTCACAGAATCCCATCGTTTCCATGACTTGAAAGAGGAATTCCCACTCCACACGATCGCACGCCTTCTCCATGTCAAGCTTGAGTGTCATCCACTTGTCAGAGTCTCTGGTTTTAGTTTTTAAAAACTGCATCACCTCCTGCCCAATAAGAATGTTGTCCGATATACAACGCCCCTTGATAAAACCATTATGGAACGGGCTGATGATATGAGGGAGAATGGAGCTCAGTCTTGTGGAAAGGATTTTGGAGATTGCTTTGTATAGCACCTGCAGTGCCCGATCGGTCTCATTTGTTTCATGGAGTCAGCATGAGCAACTTTCGGGATGAGAGTTAGCAGCGTATGATTGATGCTATGTAGTAATCTTCCCGTCTGAAAGAAGGAGAGGATAGCATCAGATACATCCCTTCCTATCTCGTCCCAGAAGCATTGGTAAAAACCAGCAGTGAATCCGTCGGAACCCGGCGCCTGGGTCTTCCCAATGCTAAATATAGCTTCCTTGATTTCTAGTCTGGACACTTGGGCAATAAGCGTGGCATTCGTGGAATCATCAATCTTGTTAGGTATATGAAAACTAGTCACAAAAGCAGTAGGATCCAACCCATTGGAAGTAAATAAGAACTGGAAGTAAGACACTGATACTTCCCCTTTCTTTGACTCCTCAGTATGAATTTCGCCCAGCTCATCACGAAGGGCCTGGATAAGATTAGCTCTCCTCCGTTGCATCATTACTAAGTGGAAGTAGTGCGTATTGGCATCCCCTCCCTTGAGCCAATTATTCCTCGATTTCTGTTTCTAGTACAACTCTTCCTGCTGATACGCTGCAATTAACTGGACTTCCAGCCTATTAATCTCAGCCCAATCCACCGATGCTGCCCCCCTTGAATTGTCAATTGCGCCTTTGAGTTCCCAAATTTACCGCGCTGAGTTGGTAGTACCAGCCTTGGCCTATCCCATAAGCTCTTGTCGGGTGTGTTTGAGTTGTGATTGTACCTTAAACAGAGGCGTGCCACCAACCGGTTTGCGCCATGCTTCGTGTACAAGGGGGGAACATCCGGATTGGAACCCCACCGGTTATCATAGTGGAATCGCCGTGTCCATCGATCAGCAGGTTTCACGAACCGAACCAGCAGCATCCTATGGTCAGAGCCCCGGTCAGAGAGATGATGCACCTGTAATTCTGGCCACAGGGAAACAACCAAGTCATTAGCCAAACACCGATCTAAGCGAGATTGAATATGGCCTTCATTTGACTGCCGGTTAGTCCAAGTGTATGGAGGGCCAACATAACCCAGATCTTGTAGGTTCCCTGCAGAAAGGAATTGATGAAGTTGGTCCAAAGCAGCTGGGGTTGGAGGTCAGCCTCCCTGCTTCTCGGCACTTGATAACAGGCAATTAAAATCTCCTAACACAAAGATCGGATCATCATACGACGAAACAAGGAAAGATATTTCATTAAGCTCAAATTGCCGGGGGGCTACATCACAATGTAAATGGACAAATACTAAAGCAAATCTTCCTAGAGAATTATGCTCACATTCTATAAACAAGAATCCAGAGGATTCAACTGGAACAGAACACACTAAATCCGGGCACCAGGCAATAGCTAATCCACTACCAATATTCGAGCTACTATGGATTCTGCCCTCAGGAAAACCCAATCCACCTAGCTGATCAACTACAAATTCATCATCACGTCTAGTCTCACTCAAACAAACAAGGAAAGGTGCATCTCGGGCTAGGGCCTCCCGGAGCACAGGAACTGTCAAGGGGCCCCCCAAACCTCGACAGTTCCAAGCAAGGATACTCATCTATCAGTTGGGGACCGATTAGGGCCGGCTGCCTCCACCCTACTATCCTTGTTGGTGATGTCAGATGTCACTTGAGGGCCTAAACAAGCCCTTTTTGCTGCTGGCTCCCTCAACTCGCCCAGGTCCAAGTCTTGCTTATGGAATAACCGCGGGGGATTGGCCGGAGCTTCAGTCTGCATCGTTGTGGAAATCTACAGATTGCTAAGGTGTGATGTCATCCCCACTGGAAAAGAAGCAGCCTGGGTCGGTGCAGCACAGAGGAGATTGGTGGGCGCTCGTCCCTTAGATGGTCTTATCCCATGGTTGTTCCCAGCCAAGGTCCACACAAACCGCTTACGTCTCCTTGATAGCGTAGCCTCATTCACCCTAGGGCCAAATTCACTTGCCACCAAATGTTTGCCATACCTTGGGGGATTGCCAGAGAGTTCATCCTTCTTTGGACAGAACCTGTTCACATGACCAACCACCCCACAAAGGAAGCAAAATTGGGGCAGGGATTCGAATTTCACCTGATCCTTGAAGCTACCTTTTGCGGGATCCTCATGTGCAGCAGCCACTTCGTCAGGGAGTGGGAGTTGAAGATCCAGAGTTATCTTCGTCCTAATGTAGAGTCCCCCAGATGAGGCAGACCGGTGGATAGTTGCCATCTCCGCCGGACCAAGGGCCGATCCAAGGAGGGTCCCCATTCTCTCAGTGCAGTAGTAGTATGGAACCCCCAGATTTGCGTCACAAGCGGAACCCTGATTAGATCTGCCGCTAGCTCCGCAGTCAGGGCCTCCCACTCGCGAACGTGGAGGATAAACTTCTCAAAGATCCAGGCAGTCCCCGAGCAGATGCGCCGGGCAGTGGCCGCATCAGGGAGAACAAATTGAAGCAACCCCCATTCCACCAGCGCAACCGAGAGATCACATTTCCACACCCTGCTTACAATGGATCTCAGAGCCGGTAGCGTAGGGAGCGGTCCACAGATACGTGCAATCAAGGTTTGATCAATCCTCTGGGCACCCACAGCAACATCGGCATCGTTGAATTGAACGGCCGCCATTCGCACTGATCTGGGAAAACGCAATCGGGCGATTAGGTCACGGGAGAAGAGCGATTGCAGTGAATCAAGCCAAAGTAGTGAGAAAGCATATCCACAGCGGCTGGGATTTATACCGATGTCGACGAGGCCATGCCGGAGTCGCCGGCGCACGTAATCAGAGGCCAGTAACGGCATCGTCGCACGAAGGCGAATCGCCCTACCACTCGCCCGACGTGGGGAGAGAGGAGGGAGAAGGTTCGGGCTTTTTTTTCTCTCTCCAAATTTTGGGTGCCTTTCTCCTAATCTTAATCATAATTTAGGCTTAACAGGAATGTAGTATAACAAACTAAACCAAAAGAAAATATAAAAAATTTCAAATGGAATCTAGATGAATTAAAAATGAAACAAACGAATGTGATTTGGTTTAGATTTTTTATTGAGCTCAATAGTACTCAACTGGAATGTGTTAGCGTGGTTATTCATGATTACTCAATTTTAAGTAATCACGATAACTACCAAAATCTATACCATTCATTATTTCTATTTCACTCTAATTGTTTTATAATTTAGGTTTCCCAATAAATAAAAAAACACAGTTGCTTACCATTAGAGACATCCGTGTAAAGTAAAAGGACGATATTTACATGCATACCAGTTTGCGAACTTTTTTCATAAATAGCACTATTTAAAAAATATTCAAACATAGCACCCAGTCCCGAAAAACTTTAAAAATAGCACCCTTTTTCGAAAACCGCAAGGTGGGGGTGCGGTTTTCGACGAAAACCGCACGGGTGTTGGGCGGTTTTGTTGATGCATGGGGCCGGAGCGGTTTGGGTACAAACGGCACCCCCTGGGAGAGGTTTATAATAATTTTTTTTTCCAAATAATCACCATAAGTGGTCTTGACATAATTGGTTCAGTTGGGGGTGGTGGTTCGAACCCTTATAATATAAATAGTTAACTAAATTTAACATAACATCTACACCACCAAACTACCACTATTTTGTTGAGACAATTACATATTGACAAAGTTTTAGTCCTTGAACGCTAACAATTCTCAATAACTTTGAACAACCATAACTTTGTTCTCCAAAATCCGAACGTCATGAATTTTTTTTCATTTCGCATAACTTTTGAAGGACTACAATTTTTATCAGGAAGAAATTTTCAAAACATGAATTATTATTGGATATATAGGATTTTGGAAATAACATTACCTTCCCTTTTCACAAATTCACGTACATTATGAAATTATGTCTATGATAAAAGTTGTAGTTCTTAAAAAGTTATGCGAAATAAAAAAAATCATAACGTTCGGATTTTGAAGCATAAAGTCATGGTTGTTTAAAGTTATTGAGGATTTTTAGCGTTCAATGAGCAAAAGTTTGTCAATATATTATTGTTTTAAGAGAAGAGTTGTAGTTGAGTGGTGTAGTGTTGTGTCAAATTTAATGAACTATTTATTATTTTGGTTCGAACCACCACTCCCACAACTTGTGACTTTTTTAATCTCTACTAAATAAAAAAAATTCAAATGAGATGGTGGGGATTCAAACCCAGGACTTCTTGCACACAATAAACAACTAAACTACTTGTGCCAAGACCACTTATGATATTTATTCGAAAAAGAAATATATATATCATAACAGCCGGGTGGGGGTGCGGTTTACAACCAAACTGCCCCGGCCCATGCGGTCAGCAAATCCGCCCCCTACTCGTACAGTTTTCATCTAAACCGCTTGTTCGGGTGGCAATTTTTGAGAAAGGATGCTATTTTTGGAATTTTTCAAGGTTGGGTACTATTTTTGGATTATTTTTTTTTTAACAATGCTATTTCTGGAATAATACCCAATTTGTAGGGTGACTAGGTGAGCCTACAACCTGTCCACGTGTTTTCTCTTCATTTGCTATCTTTTTATTTTTTGCATTCTTAAATCCTACAACAATAATAAGCTTTAGTTTTCATCTAAACCGCTTGTTCGGGTGGCGATTTTTGGGAAAGGATGCTATTTTTGGAATTTTTCAGCGTTGGGTGCTATTTTTGGATTTTTTTTTTGAACAGTGCTATTTCTGGAATAATCCCCAATTTGCAGGGTGACTATGTGAGCCTACAACCTGTCCACGTGTGATAGGGTATCTTAGTAATTCCTAGGGCAAAACTCTAAATAAAGCCCTAGCTAATAGCATAAGGAAGAGAAGAAGACAAGAAGACAAAAGAGCAAAAGACAAGACCAAGAGACAAGGGACAAGGTCAGGCAACTGACATCAGCAAAAGCAAGGTGCAGGGGGACACCCTCTGTCAAAAAGTACAAATGTACAGTGTCAGAGTCTGAGGCGCCCAACCACAGCATTTATGGCTTGGCAGGCGCCCAGACAACTATCTAACCCCTAGATGTGTATAAATAGGAGTTCTCTCCTCATAAATGGCAATCTATCTACTCTTACTCTTAACTTCTTTCTACTTTCTCTCTCTATATACTTCTCTTCTTCTTACTTCTGTCGAGGCGGGGCGCCTACCTCCTCAGAGTCATGTCTGACGCCCCAAACCCCTTGGACCCGAGTGACACCCAGTCGCCCGGGCTCAAACAATTGGCGCCCACCGTGGGGCCAAACATGACTTTGAAAGACGCTTCCAACTCAAAGAAGGGGGAAGAAGGGAGTCCGGCGCCAACGAAGACCCCTCTCAAGCAAGTTGTTGGTCGGGAAGCAATCAATCCTCAACCACTCACCATCCAAGGTTTGGAAGCATCCGATGACGACGATCCATCAGGAGACGGAGAAGACACGGAGCGCCTGGGGGGCCAACTAGAGAAGCTTCGGGAGAAGCAAGCACACCAAATGGCGAGTATGCAAGGCCAACTAGACCAAGTCATGATCGCGTTGTCAGCACTAACAAAGGCAAACGATCACGCGCCTCCCAATCCCCAAGAAGCCACAGAAGAGAGGAGGCGCCTCAAAGGAAAGATGCAAGAGGTTAAGGTGCTTCCCATGAACTCCCCACGGGAGGGAGTGGGCGCCTCACCAAATGAGGAAGCAATTGAAGCTGACGACGATGTCTACCTAGAGAAGTACACCCGACTCAACTATGGCGCCTCGGAAGAAAGAGGTGTCCAAATTATTAGGCAGCCGTTGTCAAAACAAGTGCCTAGACCCGCTTCCTCCGTCGAGGAGAAGCCTAAGCGTGTCACCTCCTTCTCAGGGGTACACGTAAGGAAATATTACCCGCGACCAGTGGAAGAGCCCTAGCGCTTACGCTCGGATCTTCATCCGAGTGACGGGCGCTCGTTTTACGAGTCCCCATGAGAGGTGGTGTCTTAGCCATATCCCTCGCAAAATTCCTGCCTTGCCAGAAGGGGTTACCCAGACCCGCTTCCTCCGTCGAGGAGAAGCCTAAGCGTGTCACCTCCTTCTCAGGGGTACACGTAAGGAAATATTACCCGCGACCAGCGGAAGAGCCCTAGCGCTTACGCTTGGATCTTCATCCGAGTGACGGGCGCTCGTTTTACGAGTCCCCATGAGAGGTGGTGTCTTAGCCATATCCCTCGCAAAATTCCTGCCTTGCCAGAATGGGTTACCCAGACCCGCTTCCTCCGTCGAGGAGAAGCCTAAGCGTGTCACCTCCTTCTCAGGGGTACACGTAAGGAAATATTACCCGCGACCAGCGGAAGAGCCCTAGCGCTTACGCTCGGATCTTCATCCGAGTGACGGGCGCTCGTTTTACGAGTCCCCATGAGAGGTGGTGTCTTAGCCATATCCCTCGCAAAATTCCTGCCTTGCCAGAATGGGTTACCCAGACCCGCTTCCTCCGTCGAGGAGAAGCCTAAGCGTGTCACCTCCTTCTCAGGGGTACACGTAAGGAAATTTTACCTGCGACCAGCGAAAGAGCCCTAGTGCTTATGCTCGGATCTTCATCAGAGTGTTGGGCGCTCGTTTTACGAGTCCCCATGAGAGTGATGTCTTAGCCACATCCCTCGCAAAATTCCTGCCTTGCCAGAAGGGGTTACCCAGACCCGCTTCCTCCGTCGAGGAGAAGCCTAAGCGTGTCACCTCCTTCTCAAGGGTAAACGTAAGGAAATTTTACCTGCGACCAGCGAAAGAGCCCTAGTGCTTATGCTCGGATCTTCATCAGAGTGTCGGGCGCTCGTTTTACGAGTCCCCATGAGAGTGATGTCTTAGCCACATCCCTCGCAAAATTCCTGCCTTGCCAAAAGGGGTTACCCAGACCCGCTTCCTCCGTCGAGGAGAAGCCTAAGCGTGTCACCTCCTTCTCAGGGGTACACGTAAGGAAATTTTACCCGTGATAAGCGGAAGAGCTCTAGTGCTTATGCTTGGATTTTTATCCGAGTGTCGGGCACTCGTTTTATGAGTCCCCATGAGGGGTAATGTCCTGCCCACATACCATGAGGGGCAACTCCCTCGCGAAATTCCCTGCTTTGTCAGAAGGAGTCACACAGATCAGCTTCCTCCGTTAAGGAGAAGCTTAAAACGTGTAACCTTTTTCCAAGGAGCTACGCGTAGGAAAGCTAGCTCAAGAGCAAACGCCCAAACCAACACACGAAAACAAGTTGCATTAGCAAAAGAACAGGAGTTTCTTAGGGGGAGTCATCAGAATTATGAGATCAATGTTCAACAACAAGAATAAAACGTTCCCTGAAAGCAAAATTAAGGGTAAAATAAACAAAAGGCGCCTAAACAAAAGGCACATTAACCCGTCAGCATCATCCAAACAGGGAACAAAGATACCCCGACTCTACTAGTCCGACTTGCTCGAAGCATCATCGGAAGAGCTGGAGTCGTCGGAGGTGCCACCATCGGAGGCGCCACCCTGATCGGCAACAGCAGTAGCATCTTTCTCACCCTCCTTCTCAGCGCCAGCATCGGCATCGACAGCTCCCTCGACGTTGTCACCCACCTCCTCTTCACCGGCGTCCTCAACATCAACCTCGATATCGTCAGCCGAAGAGTTACCCTCATCAGAAGGTAATGGATCCGAGTCGGCAGGCTCATTATGTGTACCCAGAGACAAGAAGTAATCATCCATTGCCTGCCAAACCTCCGGAGTACTCCACTTCATGTCGGGGTTGTCAGAGCGAACTTTCTTGCGGATGCCAATGAATGACCTCTTCTTCACACCAATTAGAAGATCCCGCTGCCAATTGCGGAACTCTGCTGACGCCAAGTGAGCATCCACTACATCCTCACGTTCCTAGGCTAGTTTTTTCTTGAACTCCGCCTAAAAAGAAAATTTTAGCTCATTAAAAAGTGAGATAAAAATGCACCTGAAACAGGTGTTGACACGCCGAGCCTGCGGGAGAGACGCCCTCGTCGAGAGGGAGCTTCAAAAAGTTCCTCAACTCCAAGGCAGAGGTAAACGCGCTTGGAGCGTTAAGTGCAGCAGAAGGAGAAATCGGAACAAGCTCTTTGGGCTTCACCACGCGCCGCGATCGGGGAGGCGCCAAGATCTCATCGATACCTCCAAGGTCAGGCTTCTTCTTTTCCTTTTGTACTTCAGCGGGAGAACTTGCAGAAGCAGGGCGCTTCCCCAAGGTTTTCTCTGGGAGGGGGTCGCGCAGATTCAACGGAGGAAACAGGTGAGGAGAAGATTCATCCTCAGTTGCAGCAGGCGCTTGGTCTGATGAGCGAAGCACGCGCCCTAGCACTTCTGCGACCCAACTCCGGAAGTGCCAGGCGCTTTCTTCGACATTCTCACCAAGCTGGAGTAGTCAAAATCTGCAAAAAGAAGAGTTATGCAAATGGCATAAGTTGAGAGTTAAATTAAAAATCATTATGAAAGAAATATATCGTGATCATAGAGCTCTCCTAAAGCACGCGCCCTCTCCCCTTTCCTCGCAAAATCCACGGGGGGTGCCCAAAAAATATGATGTTTCTGTTCGCGCTCAAGCTTCCCGAGGGTAAAGTCTTTGGCCCACTCCTCGTCCGAACCTTCACGCCACAAGGTCGAGAGAGGCGCCTCCGTCGGAGCATGCCAAGTACCACAACGCGGCTTAAGGAAAAAATAAGAGCAATACCATTTGCTGGGAAGTTTGGGTGATCCTTTACAAACCCGGCCGTGGTACTTGCTGTCACGCTTCAAGGCTGACCAACCATGTTTACCCCGTTCTAAACTATATATATACTCCGGAAGATGGAGAAGGAAGGGTCGTAGCCTAGGCCCTTACAGATAAGTCGAAAGGCACAAGTATGAAAAATAAGTGAAGGGGACAAGAAACTGAGGGGGCACCCAACCATTTCCAAGATGCCCGATAAGATAGGGTCAAGTGGGAACTTCAAGCCACACTTCAAGTATTCGGAATAAATCGCAAACCATCCCTCGGGACAACTACCAACACGCCCATTGGGATCAGGAAGCGCATACTCCCAATCGGTGGGAAACCCCAGCCCACGAATGTAAGACACAACCCGGTGGCGTTGGATGTTGGGCCGCTTATCGGGACCGAGGAAACGAACAGAAGGGGGAGGCGCCTGTCCACCCCACATACCCCGCCACAGCAAAACACGGTAATCTGGATCGTCAGTTGCACGAAAATTGCCCGTCTCGGGCTCAAGCTCCACACTTGACATGTCACCCTCGAAAAGCAACTCTGTCTCTGGTTCTGACTTATCATCCTCAGCATCACTGACGACCTCGGAAAGCCGCCACTTAGCCTTTCTATACACTGCCCAATCAACTAACACTCCCTAAAGACAAATGCTAGCAGTAAGAGTTTAAAACGAAAAGAGGAAAGAGCATTACTTACCCATCTTCCTGACCTTGCTAGTAGAGGCTTGAGTTTTGCCTTTAGCAGGAGCAGAAGCACCACCCATGGAGGCAAAGGGCTGCGAGTTATTAGATGCCATAGCAATAAGGGAGGGGTGGGCAACGAAGCGGGTCTTGGAGGAGAACCGAGTACAACGTCTAAGGCGATAGCGAGCTGGCAAAAAGCCGTTATCACCCCATGACCTTGTGTAGAAAGGCGCCTTTGACGCCTTGAGATAAAAAAGCCTGCACCACAAACAAAGTGTAAGGCATAACGGAGCAAAGGCGATCGCCGAAGAAACATCGCAGGGGTGGCGCCTAAAGGAAAAAAGGCATAGCTTACCTGTTGTCACCTCTCAAATAGCGCCTAATGAGCGAGGAAGGAGCGGCGTCCGGAAAATAACAACAATGGAGCGCCTACAAAGAAAAGAAGCGGAGCAGACAAACATAAAGGTAAACGACACTGGTAAAGTAAAGCGAAGGAGGCGCCTACGAAGGGAAGAGATAGTAAGGAGAGACGAAGGCGCCACCCCAAAGTGCTAGGCTAACAATTGAAGGCGCCACTCAAGGAGAGACGAAGGCGCCACCCCCAAACATAAATCGAATCGTCTCTAGACTCATTAACTAAAGCGCCTAAAAACAAAGGGCAGTGGCGTCTCCAATCGGAAAAGGAGGGTGAGCAGTAAGAATCTAGGGCGCTCGAACAAAGGAGGGGAAGCGGCGCTCGAACAAAGTGCTAGGCTAACAATTGAAGGCACCACGCAACTCAAAAACATGAATAAAATCGTCTCTAAACTTATTAACTAAAGCGCCTAAAAACAAAGGGCAGTGGCGCCTCCAACCGGAAAAGAAGGAAGAAAGCGATGCTTGCAAACACCAATAATCTTAGCAACAAAGAAATGGAGGCGCCTTCCCCAATCGAAGAAGAGAGGGTATGTGGGTGGCGCCTAGGAAAAGAATAAGTGGCACTTAGGAAGAAGAGAGGCGCCTACCTAAGTAAAGGGGTCACGACTCTCAGGAGAATCGAAGCAGAGGCGCCGCGAAGAACGATGCCTGAAAAACAAACATTAGAGGCAAAACGCGGAGGCGCCTCCCCCAAATCGAAGAAGAAAGGGAGACGTGGGCGGCGCTAGGAAAGAAAGCATGTGGCTCCTAGGAAGAAAGAAAGCGCTTACCTAAGTGAAGGGGTCGCGCCGACCAGAAGAGTTGAAGTAGAGAGAGGCGCCGAGCAGAGGAGCTGAAGCAGAGAGAGGCGCCGAGCAGAGGGGAGCGGCCGATGTGAGGAAGAAAAAAATATGATGGAATGAAGAGGAGGGGTTTAAATAGGAGTGGGGATAGAGGCGCGCGGTTCCCAAGACATGCCTCCTTCAAAGCACAATCCACCCCCTACCCCTCTCCAAAATTGGCCTACTCCAAGTTTGAGAATGGGCTTGGCCCAAAATCACCATAAACTGTCTATTTGAGAACATACTTGTTTGGCGATACTGCACTACTTGCGCCATCACCAAAAGGGGCAATTGATAGGGTATCTTAGTAATTCCTAGGGCAAAACTCTAAATAAAGCCCTAGCTAATAGCATAAGGAAGAGAAGAAGACAAGAAGACAAAAGAGCAAAAGACAAGACCAAGAGACAAGGGACAAGGCCAGGCACCTGACATCAGCAAAAGCAAGGTGCAGGGGGACACCCTCTGTCAAAAAGTACAAATGTACAGTGTCAGAGCCTGAGGCGCCCAACCACAGCATTTATGGCTTGGCAGGCGCCCTAACCACTACCTAACCCCCATATGTGTATAAATAGGAGTTCTCTCCTCATAAATGGCAATCTATCTACTCTTACTCTAACTTCTTTCTATTTTCTCTCTCTATATACTTCTCTTCTTCTTACTTCTGTCGAGGCGGGGCGCCTACCTCCTCAGAGTCATGTCTGACGCCCCAAACCCCTTGGACCCGAGTGACACCCAGTCGTCCGGGCTCAAACAATGTGTTTTCTCTTCATTTGCTATCTTTTTTTATCCTTAAATCCTACAACAATAATAAGCTTAATTTGGCTAACGGTAGCATCCATCCTCTCATTTCACTTTTTTTGTTCGTCGATCTGTCTCTCTTTCTTCTTCTCCCCTTACCTATTACTAGCGTGGGCCCCAGCCATTTGGCCGGAGGAAGGTGAGGTATGAAATTTGATAATGTAATGGGGTGTATAGCTTATTGTTGTATTTTTTTTTTTTGGTAAACACGTGATAAAAATAGTGAATTTTAGTTGGAAAGAGACATGAATGATGCAACAAATCAAAAATCAGCCTTACTAGTCAAAATCAAGTTCCTGTTAGTTGTTACCTTGTGAAACTATATTGTTTCTGGTAATATGATGAGTTTGAGTAAGTTTTATATAAACCAAATTTCAGAAAATCGAATAAAAATCGCCTATCCCGCCGTTTTTCGGGAAATGAGCATCTCACAATCGTTGCTAGCTTTTACTCGGCCCGTTGGCCGATTAATTTGCTTTATAAAACTTTCATCTTGTCATCATTGTGCTTTCTGGTTTTTGCCAAGCCATGATAAAATCTAAAGAAATCAAGAATGAACAACATGATTTGGAATAGGAACCACCGTTCCTGTATCCCTAGAAAATGGTGGTAAACACGGACTCACCTGCTAAACTGGTTTGGATTGAGATTTTTATCAGGTATCAGGGAACCATGTGATTATAAATTAGACTTGATCAAAACGGGTCAAAATTTGAAATTCAGCC